CCTGCTGCCCATTAATTTCATTTGGTGTCCTCTACTCCTTCTATTATGGAAACTAATGAATAACTTTTCTTTATTCACCCTCTACACACCACTCATATATCTCTATCATATCCCCCCTCAGTATCCTCTTTTCTAAGCTGAAAAGTCCCAGTTTCTTTAGCTTCTCTTCATATGGGACCTGTTCCAAACCCCTAATCATTTTAGTTGCCCTTTTCTGAACCCTTTCCAAGGCCAAAATATCTTTTTTGAGGTGAGGAGACCACATCTGTACACAGTATTCAAGATGTGGGCGTACCATAGTTTTATACAGGGGCAGTAAGATATTCTGGGTCTTATTTTCTATCCCTTTCTTAATAATTCCTAGCATCCTATTTGCCTTTTTGACCGCCGCAGCACACTGTGTGGATGTTTTCAGAGAACTGTCCACGATAACTTCATTCATATTTTTCTGCCTGTCTCTGGAATTTTTCTCTTATCAAAAACATGGCATGTCCTAGCACCAGGTTGTTTCTGGTCTTTTTGGCCTGGTCTCGCTGTCCAAATTTTTCCCATATCAAAAACACGGCATATCCTAGCACCAGGTTGTTTCTGGTCTTTTTGGCCTGGTCTCGCTGTCCTGTACAAGTTCTGCATAATTGGGCAGCACTCCTGACTTTCCCCACCCTTTCTGGTGTGGCCTGTGTACATACGTGCGTGCCCAGACTCGAGTGAGACCCAGGGTGGTGTGTTGGAGAGCCATACTTTGGACAAGGCTGGGCTGGTTCTGGTCATGGGAGGGCTGTCCAGGCTCCCTTACAGTGGTGCACATCTGCACATGCCTTGGTCCAAAGAACAAAACTGATTCTGCACATGGAAGGAAAAAATTAGAGGGAGCATTGCACTGACCTCTCCTGCTTGGCCTGTTTTGGTTTCCGCTCTGCCAGGGAGTCCGGAACAGGGAGGGAGCTTTGCTACTGCTGCATCGGACCAGTCACCCAGAGGAGCTGAGCCCGGCCCAGCGCCTGCGGCAGCGTCCCCAGCCCGAGCGCGGCGGAGAGTCCATGGAGTCAGCAGGTGGGAGCGCTGAGAGCCATGTGCCGCTGCAGGAGCTGCATGTTGATGCCAGTAGGCTCCTGGAGACAGGACAGGAGCCAGATAACAAAGTGTTGCTGACTGGGACCAGGCTGGAGAGACACAGACTGACGGGGTTGGGGCAGGCTCTGCCCAACCCATCTGTGGGCAGCAGGGGCTGGAAGCTCTGGGGCTCTCAGGGCCCCGATCCCTGGCTCCCAGGGGCTGGCTGGCGCACACAGCACTGGGCATGTGGCCAGGCAGGGGTGGTTTGGGCTGGTGGGTCAGACCCCCTGTGGCAGCCCTGGCCCCTCTCAGCCTGGCTCCTTCTCCCCCTTCGGCTGCGTGGTGCCCGGGTGAGACCCCATGTGCGGGGACGGGCGCTGGGCAGGGTGGGCACAGCCAGTACTGGGCTGAGGGGGCAGAGCAGCTTGAGCTCTTGCCATGGGAACATGCGGGTCCTTATCTCTGTGTCCCTGAGTTCACCGGCCTGGTGCCGGCCTGGCTGGCGGTGCCAAGGGGTGCTGGGCTGAGAGGGGAGGGACTGTTCTGCCAGCCCCAGCCTGCCTGAGCCCCCGGGCGCCTCTCCCAGAGCGTCCAGCAGGAGGCGCGAGGGGCAGAACGGGGTGTTTTCTAGGGCAGCCGTAGCCTGGTGCTGTCAGTGAGACGCGGCCTCGCAGCCTGGCCTGACTGGTCCCTCTGTTTCAGGGTCTCACTGTAACTGCAAGACACACAAGACAGTTGCCCTCAGAGTCGCCGTAGTCGTGATCTTTGGTCTCCTCATCGCTGTTATTGCCCTGGCAGGTGAGTTCTCAGCTTCCTCCCTGCCCCCCTCTCTGCACGTCCCTCCCCCTGGGGCTGCCCCAGTCACAGCGTCTCCTCCTGGCCTGTCCGACTCCTGCCCCTGGGACAGAGGCTTCCTGAGGGATGCTCCTGCCTCCTCCCAAAACCTGCCCAGGGCCAAGCTGGCAGGTGCCCATCACTGAAATGAGCCGTAGGGTGCAGCACAGACACCCCCATTAGCACTGTATGACACCCACCAGTGAGCAACCAGGGCAGCTGTTCCTGGTGAACATGGGCCCAGCTGTGTCTGCCCTTGGCCTGGGGAAGGGGTGTGGGGTGTGTGTGTGTGTTTGGGGGGGCATCTGTGAGAATGTCTGGGGTGGGGTTTATCTGTTGCTCTGGGGTCTGAGCACTGGCCCCCAGGTGGGCTCAGCAGCCGGCCGAGGGGGGTGAATCTACGTCTGTTTGCACGGGGGTGACTCTGGGCCCATGTGGCTCTTTTGGCAGAGCGGACTTGGTGCAAACTGCTGAGGTAGGTGGGCGGCAGTGGGGCAGGGCAGGCCCTGCTCTGGTGTGGCCACTGCAGTCAGTGACCAGAGCAGGACATGTGACCCCAGCGCATCTGTGCCAGGGGTTTGCACTGGTGTAACAGACCCACCATGGTTACAGTGCCGGCCACCCTGGTATAAGCCGGCTGTGAATGGGCCCCATTGGCTCACTCAGGGCATGGTGAGATTTGGGAGCTTGGGGTTCCACCCTATGGGTGCAGGGAGCCCCACAGCAGAGTGAGTGAGCCTCCCGCCAGGCATCTCCCTCGCCCTGCGTCTGGCTGCGCGGGGAGCTCTGGGCAGCGGGCACTCGGCCTGGCGAAGGGCAGGGAGTTTGTTCCCCCCCACCCCTCAGCCCCCTCCTGGGCAGCCCAGCGCAGAGCAGGGGAGGGGCAGCGGCCCAGGCGAGCAGTCTTACCCAGCGTCGCTCTCCTGCCAGCTGCCAGCCCTGACCACGGCCCCCTCCCTCAGCCCATCCCCGGCTCTGACACGGCGCCTGGGCCTCAGCTGCCTCCCTATTGAATGTGAACTGGGATTAGTGGCCCTGTGAGACCAGGGACAAGTAACGCTCCCATGGGGCTGGATTCCCACTGTCCTAGTTCCCCTTCAAGCCCACCCAGTACCTGACAGGGTCAGAGCAGTCTAGGCAGCCTGGGGGGCCGGGATCATTTCTCCCCACCCAAGGGCAGGCCCCCTCTCACCCTACCTGTTCCTGTCCCATTTCAGTGTTATCTGGGCGCTCTCCAGCTGCATGGGGTCCCTGCTGCCCGGACACCTGGGTCGGCTACCAGGGGAAATGTTACTATTTCTCCAAGACCGAAGGGAACTGGCCCGACAGCCGGAGCAACTGCTCTGCCCTGGGGGCCTCCCTGGCTGCAATCGACAACAAGCAGGAAATGGTGAGAGACTCGTCGCACTGGCCTGGCCTGGGCTCTGTCCCTTGGGCAGGGAACAGCTCAGAGCCAATGGACTTTCCAGGGCCCCTCTGGTGTCAGTAACGGGAGGATCAGCCACTGTCAGGCCTCTCAGCAGGAGATGCCCCTCTGGGGCTGGGCTGCCCCGGTGTCTGCTGGGCTGCCTGGGGCTGGAGGGGGCTGAGACCCCAGCGCGGCTGGAAGAGCCAGTGCCCCTAGGTAGGGGAAGAGCAGCCAGCTGAGGGTGGGGGAAGGGTCCTCTTAGGCTATCTCTCTCCTTCCCCGGGAAGGGCTGGAGGGAGCCCGGCTGCCCTGTCAGGCGAGGGTTTCACACAGACCCTGGCCCGGCATGGGGAGCAAGCGGTGGGAATTTGGACCCAGCAGCTCCCAAGCGCTGCCCCAGCCCTGGGGAAGTTGGGGTGGGGGGAGCTGGGTTTGGCAGAGGAGGGTTAATACAGAATTACCCAGAGCTGGGCAAGGGGGAGGGGAAAATCCCCAGCCCCTCCTCCCGTGAACACTTAAAGCCCTTCTGTGCGCACCTGGGATTGTCGGGCCCTGACACCGCCTCCCCCTCTGCTCTTCTAGTTTTTTATGCAGCACAGTAAAGGCAAATTCGACCACTGGATTGGCCTCTGGAGGCACCCAGACCAGCTCTGGAAATGGGCCAACGGCACCAAATTCAACCACTGGTGAGTCTTTTCCTCTCTCTCTGTGATCTCCCTGGGATTTGGGTGCCTGGTGTCTGAGCCATCGAGTTCAGGCCAAGCCCCCTGCTAGTGCTGTGGGAACAGCCAGAGAGCGCTTGGAAGAGTGTGTGCTGGGTGTGTTAGTGACAGGTGCAAGCCAGTGTCTCCCGCTGGCTGATGGACATATCTTTGGCTGTAACGAGGTCCCTGAATCTTTGATGAGGCGTCTACATACCAGATGCTTGATGGTCACACATGCTGGGTGCCTGCGGCTGCCACTGGAACAGAGAAACAGCAAAGAGGGTGCAGACAACACCCCCAGCCTGATTTCAGTGGGCTCTGGGTGATCTAATAACTACCCCCCACGTGAGCCGGTAGCTGGGTTTGACCTTCAACCAGCAGCCAAAGTTCCTTCTAAGATTTTCAACCATGAGTCAAGTGAGTTTTGTCTTGTGCCCCCATATTGAGGTCATGTGCACTTGTGTGGATGTGCCACCGTGGTACCTGCCCGTTACTGACAAATAGCTTAGCTACATGAATTTTTAAAATGTTATAGAAGAAAAAATTCTAAAAGAAGGGATAACTAACACTATGAAATCAAATACAAACACTATTAATACTGCACATTTTTCAGTAGCCATTTGGTAGCTTACGTGTATCTGTTCCCTAGAGGTATAAAACAAAATTGCTCATTTTCTTGACATAGCAAACGAGATATTTTACGATTCGTATCGATACATGAAATGAAATATGCTTGAAATTAAAGTTGAAATTGTTTAATAGGCTCATTTCTGAGCACTGTTTGTGCACATTGAAAAAAATGCTGTTTCCTAGATGATAGGGAGCAATGCTTCAGTTGTTTACATACCACAAATCTTTCATTCTTCCATGCTGGTGGATTCAGCTCTGTGGAAAGATTGAGGAATGAAAGCCTTCTGCAGATTTGTGTTAGAAATGTAGCCTGGTGCAGCTGAAACAAAAAACAGGACTGTGTAGCACTTTAAAGACTAACAAGATTGTTTAATATGTGATGAGCTTTCGTGGGCCAGTCCCACTTCCTCAGATCAAATAGTGGAAGAAAATTGTCACAACCATATATACCAAAGGATACAATTAAAAAAAATGAACACATATGAAAAGGACAAATCAAATTTCAGAACAGAAGGGGAATGGAGGGGGGAAGGAAGAGGGGGAAGTACATGTCTGTGAGCTAATGATATTAGAGGTGATAATTGGGGAAGCTATCTTTGTAATGGGTAAGATAATTAGAGTCTTTATTCAAACTTAAGTGTAAAGTGTCAAATTTGAGCATGAATGACAGTTCAGAGGATTCTCTTTGAAGTGAAGTCTTAAAAGGTCTTTGAAGCAGGATGCAGGTAATCAAGTCGTTGATACAAAGATAGCTTCCCCAATTATCACCTCTAATATCATTAGCTCACTGACATTTACCTCCTTCCCTTCCCTTCCCTCCCTCCTTTTCATATGTGTTCATTTTTTTAAATTGTATCCTTTGGTATATATGGTTGTGACAATTTTCTTCCACTATTTGATCTGAGGAAATGGGTCTGGCCCACGAAAGCTCATCACATATTAAACCATCTTGTTAGTCTTTAAAGTGCTACACAGTCCTGTTTTTTGTTTCTTCTGCAGATTTGATTCATTTATTTTTATGTCTGCACCTCAGCAGTGTCTGAATCACATGGGTGGACAACTTGGCAATGAAATTGCAGAAGTGCTGACGGTGGGGTGTAACCCATTTCTTACGTTTATCTTTACACCCCATGACCGGAGGGCAGCTCATGGATTTTTTTTTTTAACTTACACTTCTGAGGCTCGTGGATTGCTAGACCCCAGATCAATACCAGGCAAATTACTTGAAACTATGCTAAACCATATGACCATAATTACCAGGCACATGGGTGAACATGGTATGTTTGGAGAAGAGTCAACAGGGCTTTTGTAAAGGGAAATCCTGCCACATCAGTGTGTTAGAATTCTGTGAGGATATAAACAAATGTGTGGACAAGAGGGATTGGGTGGATAGAGGGTACTTAGACTTTCACAAAGCCTTGGGCAAGGTCTCCCAGCAGAGGCTGTCATGGGACAAGAGGGACGTTCCTATCATGGATCGATAACTAGTTAAACCAGGGTGGGCAAAGTATGCCACAGCCAGATCTGGCCTGCCCAACATTTCTGTTCGTCCTGTTAAAAGTCCTGTGGTGCAGAGGAGTGCTCAGAAGGGCTGTCTACCTGCTGTGGCCCCGCATTGCTCCTGGAAGTGGCCAGCTGCTGCTGGCGTGTCTCTGTGCACAGCGCACCCTGGTCAGGGAGGGCAGAGGTAGCTCTGCGCTGGCTCTTGCACTGTCCTCAGAGCTCCCATTGGTTGGAAACTGGTCAATTGGAGCTGCAGGGGCGGGACTTGTGTATGCTGGCACCACACAGAGACCCCCGGCCCCCTCCCCACAAAGGGTGCTGAGACACCCCAGAGCTTTGTGTTTAAAAACAAACTCACTCTTTTAGTGACGGGTGGGAAACCAGGAAACACCCAAGGTGGGCTAAGGGAGCCAGTCAGTTGGCAATATTCCAGCAAGCATGCCCTGCGCTAGGCCGCAGCCTGCCTTTGTGCCTATGGCACAGGCCGTCACTTAGCAACCTGCTAGGGACATGTCTGCGCTGCAGCTGGCACCCCGCCTCCTAGACCAGGCAGCCAGGCATGAGCTGACTGGGTGGCACTGTCTTCCTGGGAGTCTTTAATTGGCTGGCTGGCTCGAGCCGCCACCTCTGCCACTACGTCCCCCCTGCTGCTGCTGTGAGGCGCTCCGGGCTTGCT